CTTTGTCTCTTGTTACAGTCTTTGTCTTAAAGTCTATTTTGTCTGATACAGCTCTTGCTACCCTAGCTTTCTTTTCACACCCCTTTGCATGATAAATGTTTCTGCATCCCCTCTTTTTCAATCTGCATGTGACTCTGGGTCTGCAAGGAGTTTCTTGTTGGCAGCATATACACTGGTCTTATTTTTTTTTTATCCCTCCCATCACCCTATGCCTTTTTTTTTTTTGGAATGTTTAGTCCATTTACATTCAGAGTAATTATTGATAAGTCTGTATTTATTGGTATTCTGTCATTTGTTTTGTGATTGTTTTTGTAGATCTTCTGTTTTTTTCTTCCCTTGCTCTCTTCTCTCACCACAAGTTGGCTTTCTTTAGTGATATATTTGGATTCCTTTCTCTATTTTTTTTGCATACCTATTACCAATTTTTGATTTGTGGTTACCATTAGGTTTGTATATAACATCTTCTGAACCACACATCATTTTAGCAAAAACAAACAGGGAGGATGTTTAAGTATTTTCAAAGAGTTGAAGGCAACAACAAAGCACAGTCCAACTCAAGCCTGAAAGAAGACATTGTAAATTTTACTAGAGGGTTAGCAGACTGGCAAAAAAAATTATTTAATGTGTAACATGAATCAAAGGGATAAGAGCTGGGAATCACTCATTTGGAGAAACTGTATTTGGAGTCCTATCACTGATGGAGAATCAAGTCCTGTGATCATTTACCTGTCATTAAGGAAACCAGTCTCAACTTTCTTCAGTTGGGAAGATACAATTATTTCCTCAATTGGTAAGTCTTTTACCTTATTAAGCTCCAGGGGGCTAAAAATCAATGACACTGACATATTAATTCAAATTTTAAAATCATCTGTACCTATTTGGTATTCTATGTTCTGAAAGTGATTAAAGTAACTTGCCACAGAGTAATAGGTTACCCTTGAATTTCAATTTAAAATGGTTAAAAGATCAATTCAGTCTTGTGATTTTAATTGGAAGAGCTAAAATAATCTCATAAGCCTCCCAATAATGGACTATTTAAGAAAACCAAGCCTCATATCTATAAGTTTAATTAAACTTAAAAGGTTATTAAAGTACTTAGAGAAGTTTATTAGACAACTGAGGTACCTATAGGGAAAACAGGATATATTAAGTTTAAAATGAAATTTGGCATGTTTAAAATTAATTATATTTGAAGACCTTTAAAAGCAATTATATAGTTGGATTTGTAAACTGGCCTTAAAAATTCAGGGAAGAACTTTCTGAATTTGTAACTTTAATAAATCTAATATATTTTTTAAAAGCAGTCCCTGAAAAAAAAAAATCAAATAAATAAAAGCAGTCCCTGAATAATGGTTTTTATGCACAAAAGTTATCAAGGGCACCAAAAACAAACAACTCACTGATATAATCCTAACTGCTAAAGAATATAATCAATGGCCTTAAAAGAAGACTTCTTTGCCTCTCTTGATGATCACCAGAACGATTTGCAAGAGAAACTCAAAATTTAAGATCACATCTGCTGAATTTCTTAGCACCTAAGAAATGTATGTTAAATAAATGACAATTGACAGAAATAATTATTAAATGAGACTGAGGAAAAACATATGAACATGAAACCAACTACAAAACCCAAACTATTTTTAGGTCATTTCCCAATGTCGGTAGATTGGTTTTGTACTTGTAACAATATAGAAGTATAGTTGATGACACGCAAGCAGTGAAAATTCTTAGACAGTAATATAAAATGAATATTATAGACTAAGGGAAAACAGACTAGCAATATTTCATAAAAATATAAAACCAATGATGAAATGTGAAATTATTTCTGTACAACAAAACCCCCAATTAATCAGAATTCCTTTAGCATTCTAGGCAATTGGTATTTTGTTACCAGTTCATATTACCTGGATAGAAGGGCAATACTAATTTTCACAAATGAGCCAAACAGGTATGATATATTAGAAAATGGAAACATAGGACAATCAAATATACCAAAGGTGGTATGTTCTCAAACCACAACGTAATTAAAACAGAAATCAAGATAAAAAGGAAAGGCCCCAGATATTTGGAAATTATACAATATACTTTTATATAAGCGCCAGTAGTTCAAAGAAATCACAAAGGAAATTAAAAGATATATGATAATGAAAATATAGCAGACCAAATTTGTGGAAAGAAATTTATAGCTTTAAATGCCTATACTGGAAAGGTAAAAAGGTTTAATCAATAATCCAAGCTTCCACTTTAAGCCAAAAAAACATAGGCACATTAAACCCAATTAACTAGGAGAAACCATTAGAGATAAAAGTAGCAATGAATGATATGTTTGTACTATCATTAAGAAAAATAAAGCCAAGCTACCCACTAAGAGAAAATATTTGTAAGACACATGTAACAAAAATTTCATATTTAGTATATCTAAAAAGTTCCTATGACATAAAAATAAGAGACAACCCATTTTAAGAAATCAGCAGAAGATACCACAAAAGCATCTGGCAAAATCAGAAATTAAATAAAACCATAAGATACTGCTACAAACTGCTAGAAATGTCTACAATGAAAATGAGACAAAGCCAAATGCTGGCAAAAATGTGGAACAACTGGAATTCCCATACTCTGTGAGAATTCAGAACTTTGGCAAATGGTCTGGCAGTTTCTTACAAAGTTAAATGTATACCTACCCCTTACTCAGCAAATTCTACCCTTCAGTAGATAGGCCAAATGAAAATAAACATCCGCAAGAAGAGTTACACAAGAACGTGCACAGCATCTCTGTTCACAATGCTAAACACTGAAAACCATTCAAGTGTCCACCAACAAGAGAATGGATAAAGAAACTGTGTTATATTCACACAATGGAATAGTACTCAGCAATAAAAAGCAGCAAACCAATACATTCAACAACATTGATAAATCTTGTGGCTGGACACAAGAATATACATGGATTCATTTATATTAAATTCTAGAACTAATTGCTGGTGACAACAGTTGGGAAGGTATACTGATTGCGAAGGGAAATAAACTTTCTGGGTAGATGTTAATGTTCTATATCATGATAGCAGTGTGAGTTACATTAATACACTTATACATCAAAATTAAAATTGGTTCATTTCAATGTATATAAATTTTACACTGAGAAAGGCCTATTAAAAAATAATTGAGTTGGGTAGGGAATGGTCTGAGGCATAGATAAAACACGAATGGCAGTTACAGTGCTAATAATTGAAGCTGGTGATGGGTACATGGGGGGGTTCATTATTCTATACTGGTTACTTTGTATATGTTTGAAATTTTCCATAATGAAAAGTTAGGAAAAAAAAAAGGAAACAGACTAATTTCTGAGTCTTTTTATTTAATTAAAACTGGACAATCTTATTTACTACTCCAATTAAAATAGGCAATCACCTAAATATGGTTATTTTACATTAGCAAAATCCTAATAATAAATTTAACTGGATTGTTAAATTTAAGTAGGGCAATCTATGACTCCCCATGCTATTTTTTGGGCCTTCAACCAATGATTATTTTCCATATATAAAGTTATAGCTTTGATTTTTTTAATATACAAGCACACAAAACACTCTTATTCTTGTTAATTTCCTGATGACCTAAAAGAAAAAGTTATTCAAGGAAGTATTAAATTTAATAGTTTCTACAAGTATGGCCTACTCTTATAGCCAAAAGTATTTCTTTAAATCTGACTTGTTCCTTTTGAATTAATTTGCTAGGAAAAAAAGTCCACTGAATATGTAAAAGTATTTTTAGATGCAGGATAGAACAACAGATCTCGTTAACTCCTATTTCTACTCTATTCAGTTCTCACTAAATTGAATTTTTCACTAGTACGGTATGTTTAGGAAGTGTAAAAAGCATTCCCAATGAAGCTTTTTTGCTATCAAGTGAAGATGCATCTTAGTATTTCCAAAGCTTTGAGTTAAACATGCTGTTAATGCAAAAAATTGCCCTCTTGGGTTTTCATAAGTTCTCTCACCACAATCAATAACTAGCTAATTTTTACACTCTTCAAACATTGTTCATTCAGATGGTGTGTTAAGTTTTACTGTTAATTATCACATGCCATTTTGAGATTATTAGCAATGGAGAATAGAGGTAAAAAACTTGAAACTTTGCAATCTATAATGGTTTTTATATGTACACATTTATACTGTTAGTATACTGCCTAGCACAGAACTGATGCAAAATTATCTATTAATTTTTCTAAGGATACATTAACTGATGTTCAGAATTAGTCCTGAAAATGTGTTAAGACTATAGAAGGGAGAATTACATGGATTAAAAAAACAAAAAGCAGCTTTAGTTTTTTGCCAAGGAATTTAGCACATTTATGGAATTTGGGGCTAAGAGACACTCTAAAAATCAACGTTTAATCTCTTTACACCTAAGAATACTGAGTCTCCTCAAAATTAAAATGGCTTGATTAAGGGTAATGAACAGCAGAGTCAGAATTAAAATTAAAACCCATGTCTTTGGACTACTAATCTATAGCTTATCCCTTAAACACCACCAGTTTCTTGGTGTCAAAACGCAACTCAAAAATATGGATTTTCTTTATGTATTATGTGCTACATTTACTAACTTGTATACAATTTCAGAATTCTTGTCAATACTGTTCTACTAATTCCTATCACTGTTTAAAACCATCTGTATGGCCTTCCAATGTTTACACCTAGTTTCAGCTGTAATATTCCTAGCCACCACAAGGAGGAGATTTTGTTCAAAACGCCACAGCTCAAAAGCAGACAAACCGATGACAAGAACTAGGACTTTACTCTCAAATTCATCCATTTATTTTAAAGTACCACTAATTAGTCACTATGCTAATGGAAACTCTTCCATATCATCTGGTTCTTGCATAGTGTAATACATTCCAAAGCTTTATAAGATGTGATCTAAACTGTACATTTGGAAGCAGGCTTTAATGGAAAAACTAATTCAAAACAGGCTCAAGAAATGTACAGAACAAGTAAAATCTTGCTTACCATTTTTGCTTCTGACTGTACTGGTTGAGGGGAGGAAGGACCTGGAATTCCTGGAACACTAGGCACCATGGTGACTGGCCGAACAAGCTATGCAAAATATATTAACAAATAATTGCTAGAGGATATATTCAATATGAGATTTGTGCTATATCTGCACAATGGTTATACAAATTTGAGAGTTTAGAATCAGAAAACTGTAAACCCTTATTATCTACTGTCCTGATTTATCTTTTAAAATTTGTCAATTTCCATAAAAGTTCACAGAGAGTGTCCTTATAAACAATTCCTGCAATAATCAAAGTACCATGGAATTACTGGACATGTGTTTCTGTACACATATATTCCTAAAGAACAGAAATCTGTGTTAATAATTGAATTCTACAAATCTAGTCAAAGTGAAATGGGCTGAATAAGGAATAAATTTCTTAAAATTAAAAATACAAGGAAGAATTTGAGAAACTTAACAGAAGACCATGAGGGAGGGGAAGGGGAAAAAGAAAAAAGTTAGAGAGAGGGAGGCAAACCATAAGAGACTCCTGGATACTGAGAACAGACTGAGGGTTGATGGGCATTGAGGAGGGCACTTGTTGGGATGAGCACTGGGTGTTGTATGGAAACAAGGAAAAGAAAATTTTGAGAGGATGGAAAAACATTTTCTAACCAATTAATTATGTTTGTCTTGAATGGTATATGCTGTCATTATAAATATGAATGAATACACACTACTAACCCCTAGTAAGTACTTTTTTGGATTCAGTTTCATAAACCAATCAAGCAGCCCTAAATCAGTTTACAGAGTCTAAACCTCAAACTTACCGGGACTGCAGCTGGAACATGCACATTAGAACTTGTAATTGATGCGGGAATAGCAACAGGCATGGTCTGTCCATTAGGAAGATGCAACAGAAGAGGAAATGGGCCCGGTACAGGACTAAGAAAAACAAAAGAAGAATAATTAAAGGTAAGAAATCCTTATCAGCCACTTCTAACAACACGAGAGTATTTTTACTCCTATTATCATATCATTTAAAAATAAATTTTCTAACCACTGCAAAGCAAATTACAAAATTTTATTATTTTTAATTGTATTCTAAATACATAATGTATATAGCAGTGTGGAGAAACAACAGGTCCAGAAAAACAGGACAATCTCCAATATGCTGAATGAGAAAAATTCTTATCAGAAGGTCTTGAGGGTCACCTGGCTCAGTTGGTACAGCATTTAACTTCTGATCAGGTAAGTTGAGCCCCATGATGAGTGTAGAGATTACTTAAAATGTTTGGGGAAAAAACCAAAGTCTTGACATACGTTTAAGAACTGAAAAAAATGTCATCTGCTGGAGTAATTTTATGTATTCTGTGTGAAATAGCATGAAAATTAGAGACCACCTTAAATTCACATTCAATGCGATTTTTTTTTAAAAATTAAGTTTTAGATATTTATTTTCTAATCTATTAGATAACACTAAGAGAAAAAGACAACCCAAATACTTTTTCCAAAAATCAAAGCATGCAGAACATGATTAACATACACACACAAAACTAAGGCCACAATTTGAATTACATGTCGTGGGAAAAACTGTGACAAGAAAAACTTGATTCATAAACAGTTCAATGACTGGCCCAAATCATCACTTACACGATTGGCCTGTTGGAGGATGGTGCCTGGGTGATCACAGTACTTGAGGTTGGTGAAGGTACTGCTTGCTGAATAATTACACTGGAGTCAGAACTTGTAAGCAGCACGTTGGGAACCTGTAATGATGCTGGACGAACGATAGCTGATGTGGGCTGTGCAGTTTGTGCCAATGGTACCTCCTATTTAGTGATGAAATAAAAAAGGGTGGGATTTAAAATTATAAGTCAATCCGGGGTGCCTGTGTGGCTCAGTTGGTTAAGCGTCTGACTTTGGCTCAGGTCATGATCTCGCGGTTCGGGAGTTCAAGTCCTGCAGCAGGCTCTGTGCTGACAGCTCGGAGCCTGCAGTGTGCTTTCAGATTCTGTGTCTCCCTCTCTCTCTGGCCCTTCCCCTCTCAAGCGCGCTCTCTCTCTCTCTCTCTAATAATAAATAAACATTAACAAAACATTTTTTTTAATTATAAGTCAATCCATGAAACTTATAAGTGAACAGAATATAACACACTTCTAAAAGCATCTACATGCGTCGGGCTCTGTGTTGACAGCTCAGAGCCTGGAGCCTGTTTCGGAGTCTGTGTCTCCCTCTCTCTGACCCTCCCCCCTTCATGCTCTCTCTCTGTCTCAAAAAAAAATAAAACGTTAAAAAAAAAAAATTAAAAGCATCTGCAGAATAATACCCTCCCCCAAAGTAATGTCCAAAGTTATTTAAAATTTTACAAACTAAAGTTATTAAAAAGAAAATTTTAGAAGTAGCTAAAAAGTGTCAAATACAACGTTCCTATTTGAATTTAAAAACACCTAAAAAAATAATAAAAATAAAAACATCAGAGTGGTGTTTTTTTTCCCCATACTACTTGTTTTCCTATCAATCCAGAAACAGGCTAAGTAACTTGGCTATGATTCCATGAACATTTCTGAAAATCCATGAGAGACTGCCTAGTCCTACTCCATCATTATACTGTAAAAAGGGGAAACAGATCCAGAGAGACTGATACAAATTAGTAATAGAAATGATTAAAAAATTTTAATACAAATGTTTGCTACAATTTATTAATGTCAAAAGGTCAAGTAATGTTGATATCCTGAATGTAAAATAATTACTGGAGTGAAATCTTTGCAAATTAAAGAAAAACACAGAATTTGTTGAGTTAGCCAGGACCTTAAAGATGGTCTTTTCCCCAGTTTTACAGATTAGGAAGAGATTAAGAGCTTTACCTAGAACTCCTTTTACTAGTTAGGGTAAAAATTGGGTCTACTGTGTTCTTAGAATTGGTCTTTACGCTGCCTCTTATTATCAAAATCTTATTTAGCTACACAGGAAGAAAAGATCAACTAGTACTATTGGAACTTCATTTATTCAACAAGTTTGAGAATTTATAGCATGCCCTCAAGGGCTACTGGGAAGAAAGAGACAATTAACAAGTAGAACAAGAAAATTCCAAATAGTAGTATGTTATAAAATAACAGTACAACATAATAAATCATGAAAGATTAACTGAGGGAAGGTTGGGGTTGGCTTACTTTAGATAGCATACATAGTGAGGTGAGGTGAGCTTTTCTGCAAAAAATGGTGCTGGATGAACAGATACTGAAAGGATAGCCGGAGAAAATTCTATCTAGGGAGAGGGAAGCGATACCAAGAGTAATGTCTTTAAGGTAGGAAAAAACTTAGAATATTTGGGGAATACACCAGAGTGGCATGAAGTGAAGGTCGAATGGGCAGACAAGCTCAGATCAATGAGGCCTTATGAAAGGACTATTAGTTATCTTAAATGCCATGGCTAACCACTGAAGGATTTTAAGCAGGAAAGTGATTATATAATGTATTAAAAATAAAGCTACCTATAGAATATTGGAGATGGAAGTAGAAAGTCCAGTTAGAAGTAATTATTAACAATCCAAGTAAAAGATGATGGCTTGGGACTAAAGTGATGACACTGAAGATCAAAGAGGATAAATTAATATTTCAGAAAGTAAGTCTGATAAGATTTGCTATTGGTGTTGGTGTGAAGAAAAGGAAGAAATGAAGGATTCTTGACTTGAGCAACTCAATGGGATGGAGAGAAAATTTACTGAGATAGGGAGAATTATGGAAAAAAAATCAAGAGTTCTGATTTAGATGTATTAAGTTTAAGATGTCTTTCAGTCATAGAAAAGGAAATGTCAAGACGGGAGTGAGAGATGAATATGGAAATCCAGGAGATACCTTGGTTGATAGAAGTTTGAGAGTCATCAGCATGTAGATGGTTTTTAAAGTTATGGTCTAGGTGATCTCACCTAGAAAGAAAAGTGAAGAGGGCCCAGAATGGACTTTAACAAATTGGCATGGCTATGCCCTGCCCAGGAGGAGGCTAATGACTGAGGGAGGAATGTAGCAAGGATTACTCCTGAAAGAAGCTGAAGCAGCAATGAACAGGGAAAAACTGTTGAGTGTGAAGGGACTGGCACGATCTTTAGGAAAAAAGATACTCATATCAAAGAGTTAACAATATTTCCTGTAACTGTGATAATGTGGAAACCTTTATGTCCAAAAAAGAACAAGATAATTAAATACATTAAGATAATGATAAAGTACAACCATTAAAAATTATGATTTTGTGCGAATGTAAACTGGTATAGCCGCTCTGGAAAACAGTATGGAGGTTCCTCAAAAAATTAAAAACTGAGCTACACAATGGCCCAGCAATTGTACTACTAGGTATTTATCCAAAGGATACAAAAATGCTGACTGAAGGGGCATATGCACCCCAATGTTTATAGCAGCAGTATCAACAATAGGCAAATTATGGAAAGAGCCCAAATGTCCACTGACTGATGAATGGATAGAGAAGATGTGGTATATCTATACAATAGAATATAACGCGGCAATCAAAAAGAATGAGATCTTGCTATTTGCAACAATGTAGATGGGACCAGAATGCATTATGCTAAGCAAAATAAGCCAGAAAAAGATAAATATCATACGATTTCACTCATATGTGGAATTTAAGAAACAAAACAGATGAATACAGAGAAGCAAAAATTAGATAAAACCAGAGAGGGAGACAAACCATAAGAGACTCTTAAATACAGACAACAAACTGAGGGCTGCTGGAGGGGTGGCTGGGTAGGGGGATGGGTTATGGGGGATGGGCATTAAGGAGGCACTTGTTGGGATGAACACTGCATGCTATATGTAAGTGATGAATCAATAAGATTCTACTCTTGAAACCATTATTACACTACATGTTAACTAACTTGGATTTAAATAAAATTCTCAAAAAATGAAGAAAATTATGATTTTGGAAATTTTCTAATGATGTGGGAAAATGTTCATTAATGTTGAATGTCGAATGCATGATATAAAAGTAAACTCGGATCAGGATGCCTGGCTGGCTCAATTGGTAGAGCATGTGACTCTTGATCTTGGGGTCATGAGTTCAAGCCCCATGATGGGTGTACAGCTTACTTAAAAAAAAATTAAAAATAAATTTTTTAAATTAAAAAGTAAACTAGGATCTTTCTTCGAATTTTTCTTTGTATCTATCCTTCTAATGAGCTATTCACTTACACAGTATACTTGTATAAATGCACGCATATATCTAGGAAAAAATGTTTCAAAATATTAGTATTTCTTATCACTCAATTATGGGCTAAGAGGAGATTTTGGTTTTCTTCCTTATATTTTTCTATATTCTTAAAGTTTTTATAAAGAGACTCACTTTTATAATTAGGAACTGAGGAAAACACCCCACAAAACATCTAAGGTCAAAGCCATGTCATCCTCTGCCATGACAGTAATCCATTAATCCATTTATGGTTTTAGAATAAAATAATCTACACAGAAACATTGTCAATGCTTCTTCGTTGTGCCACACCTAGCACCCCATGTGTTCATTAGATGTGCTTATGAAAAAAAGCAATCAAGAAATACTCACAATAATGGTTACTCAACCCATACTATAGCCCAGAGGGTCCCAATTACCAAGGTATTCAAGATCCAGGAATAAGCCCTAAATTGAATACAAAAGGCCTGTACTAAGACAGTATCACCATCACCTCAGTTGGCAGTACCAAAGACCCATTGCTGAGAATGAGTATTGCTTTAGCCCTTAAAAAGCCTAAATAACCTTGGTTCGAGCAATTTTTAGTAGTAAAGATAAAGCTGTCACTATATAAGAGCAGTGAAGCATTGGGGCGCCTGGGTGGCTCGGTCGGTCAAGCGTCCTACTTCACCTCAGGTCATGATCTCGCAGCTCCAGATTCTATGTCCCAACCCCCTATTGTCCCCAACTCCCCCGCCTGCACTCTCTTTCTCTCAAAAATAAACATAAAAAAAAAAAAGTAGCAAAGAATAAAATAACAAAACCCAGAAAAATTAAGTTTTTATAAATTTGTGTAGCCTTTAAAAAATAAGTTTTATTTAAAATGACTGCTGTCCTCCCCTATAATTTTTCTGTGTAATAAAAAGCCAATTTTTTTTTACAAAAGTGACGTCTTCTTGCCCTGAAATTTCCATGAGTATTCACAGGCTTTTACATATAAGACTATTACAACCTGACACTCCATTATGTACAACTTATTACATTAACATTTTATGTAAATCAAATACTAAACTTTACTTGGGGTGATTTTTTTACACTAAGTTTCTATTTCTACCAAAAATGCAAATTTCTAACCTTTTCATCACTGGTAGTAGATTCTGGGTGAGGTAAAGGACTATCTTGGTGAGTTGTTTCTACAACAGAGGGCTCCTCAATTTTGCTTCTTATAATGGGTGTTGCAAGAGGGGATAAATCTAGAGGCATCTAAAATACAAACGTTAAAAGAAAATGTTAGGAATTCCAAAATGCCAACCAGCATTTCTAAAATAAGAAAGCAGGAAGTGTTAGCTATGATTATTGTTCTGTTAGAAGTACTCTTTTTTTTTTTTAATTTCATGGTTAACAACATACTTTTTTAATGTCGTCTTCTGAGGCTTTCTTGAATTCATTCTCAAATGGACTTGCCAATTCATTAAACAAACCCACTTCTTCACAGTTTTTCAAGAATCTTGTTGGTGTTGGGGTCTGATCTGAAATAAACGTCAAGAAGCAATCACATAGATTTAAATATCATGCAGGACCCTAAAATATAGCTAGTAAATTAACAAATTAGCAGGACTGGTTCAATCAGCTGTTAATTCTCTTTGGAAAGACCTCTTCCTTTAAAGCAAACAAAATTTGGTTAAGTTTTTGTTGCAGTTCAAGATATTTCCTCCAACTTTATGAACCATAAAAGTATGAAAAAAGTCCTTCTTCTTCCTTAGTCCAGACCTTCTCTCTGAGTAGAGTGACAAGCATCTTCTACTCAGAGATCAACTATTATCATTATTTAAGGCAGTAAGAATTTTAAAAATTTTACATTATTAAACAATTATGATTGTTTAAAATACATGCAGTTTGGGGAAAACTAGGACGAGAGCATGTATCTTCACTCTAGCCTGGCCCTTCCACTAGTGTTCATAATCTATTACGAAAGCAAGCTTAAGATAAAACAGAATTTTTAGGAGGTAGATCAAAATACTACAAGGAAGAAAAAGAAGGTTAAAACAAGAGCCCTGAAACAAAAACAAACCAAAACAACAACAACAACAACAAAAATAACCAACCCTCCCTCCTTATCTGCTAAAGCCAATTTTCTATTTTAATGCATTTTTCAAGTTTGGAACAAGGGGCTATTTAAGAGTTACGTATTTATGTAAAGTTCTACCTTAATTTCTAGGCAGTAGAGGAATAGTCAACTCTATTTTCTCACAACTTGGAATATTTTAACTATCCTTGAATATGTACTTATGCTATGTACATTAACACATATACTGGTTATAGAATAAATGCCAGTTAAGGTCCATGTTGAATAAAAAATAGTATTTTTATGAACTCTGCCTATTTGGTCTCATAATTTTCCAGGCTATTTATTCATACTGACCAGAGCTGGTGGCACACTGAAATTCTATTCACATTCTATGCATTTTAACTTACAGGTTGTATTAGGAATCTAGCCTAAATTAAATACATGTATAAGGATGAATCCTGGTTTAAGATTTTATAAGATTAAAATTCATATATTTGTTAAATGCTGTGTCCCCAGAATGGGCATTACTTATTGTTTCATCTCTGCCCCACATATATCTAGAGTACTGATATGCTTACTACATATAAATATATTTAACACTAAAATGACCTACATGTCACACATATTATGTATAATGTAAGCCTATTTCAAACACAACTAGTATTATCTAAATTACTGAAGAGACTCTCTTGCCATCATTTTACCTGTTAGTCTACAACATACATACCCACTAACTCTCAACAAGACTTCTATAATTCTATTACAGTAAGGGCTCAGAATACTCTTATCAGTTTAAGTCCATCATAGCTGAATTAGTAAACTGAATATAAATCTGACTCTTCTATTCACATGCAAAAGGTCTATCTCACCTCAACAGAAGGCTCCTAATTTGTGTTAAAGGGAGAGAAAGAGCTTAAAAATAACCATGTTTTATGCATATGCATTATTAGTGATTACTGGAATGATGAAGCCTGAGAAAAGAAACATCAACACAGGCACGGTTTAAACATCAATGGTTTAAATATGATATGCAGTGGCTTATGGCTACTGACCATCAAATATATACCACACACATCATGCATTATACAGTAATGCTAAACTACTTATTTCAACATGTTAGTAAAAAAATGGTCAAGTGCTGTGTTTGAACATGTTCTATTTTTCTACTGTAATAAAGGTAAAGCAACAGGAAATTTCTAGAAACCAATCTCGAAACATTTTTAAGTTGAAAATTTCCAGACATTGCTCTAGGGCAGGAAGTTTCAGACAAGCAAAGACCTTCATGCCTAGGAGAGTGAACTGTCCAGGTTGTTGTTACTTTGTTTGACTGCTTTTTTTTGGTTCTAGCTCTTTAGATCTGATGTATACCATTTTAAAGAAATGTATAGCTCATTCTTCTCTGCTTCCTTTTACGTAACTAAAGATACACTGAGCATTCTCTCTTTCATTTTTCCTAGTTTTTGACAAATTACCAACTTTTTGTTACCTCAAATTTTTTCAGTACAAAAATTATGATACTGAAAGTACAGGAAAAATCATCTGCCTCATTATCTCTTCAGAGCACTGCATATGACAATTTCTATGCTGGGTATTAATTTCAAAATATTCATAATATTCAGATATCAGGGTTAATACAGACTTACAAGCAGTATAACCCAAACTTTAGAAAAGAATAATTTAGGGGTGATTCTGAATACTTACGACTTTGTGGTTATGACACAAAAGGGTCTGAAATTTATATAAATATATTAAGTTTTATATGAAACTTTGTTTTCTTATCATGATACTTATAAAATATAGAAAGTGCAGTAAAACTATGCGTATTATGTGTGTGTCCATACACATAGACGTGTGTGTATATATATTTAAAATACCAAAAAAGGGGCAGCTAATACAGCATGAGAGGACAATAAAACAATGCATGAATTTTCTCTTTTCACATATTGTGAAAGATATTCATCTGCTTATGTAATACTGTATGTTCATAGGCTCAAAACACAAGAAAAGCAAATACTGAATTTAGGCCCCTTTATTGAGAGTATTTTACTAACACAGATGTTTTAGTCCCAAAAGAAATATAAACAAATTCTAGTGAGCAAGTCAGCTAATTGATCTCTCTCCAACAGGAGGAGCTTGATCATTTCCTATCTTCCCACAGCATTGTAAACCAGGTGTAAAAAGCTAAAAGAAACACTGACTAAACATCACATTAGTTCAATTATCAATTAAATGTAAATTCTGGAGATGCTAAAAAATGCTCCTGGGGTTCTAAATTAACTTCCACAAAACTGACATTGAAATCTACATTTGAAAAACCACACAAAAAAAAGTGAAATGAATGGTCAGAAGGAAACATGAAAATGTAATGGGTAAAATACATGTTGCCAACATTTACTGTAAATGAATTGGAATATCACCAGACTATATTATTTACAGAGAATACACAAAAATTGTGCACATTCCAGGTGAAATATGTATATAAGCTATTAATAAAAGCATATACTAACCAGCCACAATGACACTGTCATTACGTGCTGGACCAAATTTCAGTGTCATCTCATGTTTATGTTTATGGACAGCCAAATGATCCTCGTTGGTAAAACGCTGTGGCAAAAAGTTTTAAAATATAGTTAAGATTTTCAATTTGATCAAATAAGTAAAATGATAAGGAAATTCATTTCCACAACATGTAAAACCACCATTAACAATGAAATAGTTTGTTAACTATAAAAGAATCTATTGTTAGTATAGATAAACACAGAAGACTTCATATAATCATAGAGAAACCCATTACCCAAGAATAAGCAATACTGATGTATTACTAAGTCACAAAACTCATTTGACTGAGGCAAACTCATAAAACCTGAGGCAAAGAAACTTCATATAAATTTCATTTGGATACTAAAAACAGACCACTACTGTTTTTTTCTTTTTTTTGCTTTATCATAGTAGAAATATATATTCCATGGTACAATGACTTCTGAGGAAAGCACTGTATTGACCCAGACTTCAGGTTACTTACCACTTTTAAAATGAGAATTCTCTTATAAAAATATTATTCCCGGACAAATTAAGAAGTAAATCAGGTTCTTTATGTTACCACGTTAAAAAAGAATGCTTTTGTTATAATCCAACAAAGAAATAGCAACCAATATAATAAAGTAGTTCATTTTAAAATAAAATTATGTCTGGACATCAACCTTTATGAAGATGCTCCTTATCGAGCAACAATTATAACTGAAAATAGGGAGCACTTATATTTTATTTCAGGGCAATAATTATAAAATGCCACATTAAGAGATATAAACTCTCTGTTCTACATCCTTATAAACGGGAATGTTAAAATTATACGTATTTGAACTCAGTTCCCCTAAACCATCAAAATGGATTCCTTCTCTTGTAGAAATATTACTCCTGAATAAATTAAGAAGTAGATCAGGTTCTTTATGTTACCATATTAAAAAAAAATGCTTCTTGTAATTCAGTGAAGAAATAGCAATCAATATAACAAACCAGTTCATTTTATAATCCAGCTCTTTCCCACTCAAGTGCTATCTTACTATTGCTTTATCATTATAAGAATTACTCCCAAATTTGGAGGAAGAAGTAGCTGTCTTTTCATAGACTGCTGAATAACTGCTCTTAGAGAATGAACATACGTGTAGAATCTACTAGCATATTTAATTACCTTACATTAGAATTTAAATATACATGTATTACATTCCACACTAAAAGTACCTTAAAGCAAGATTCACTTTATGTCCAAAGAACCTAACAATGTAATTTCTCCCATGAAGGCAATAATTAAACATTTGTGAATAAATGCATTTTGGTAGAGGTCATAATTAACAGATAAGAACATGGGAAGTTATCTCCTAGGAACTTATTCTACCACTATCCCCTGCCGGGATTGGTTCGACCACAAATATCCAAATCAAAGAGCAACTACATATAGAACTGCACGAATTGTATAAAACATGTGAAAATGGCACCAAATTTAATCCTAAGTAAAAAAGAACAGTTAAAAGAACCCTAAAAACCATTTAGGATCATGTGACTATTAAAAGGGGGAGAACAAGAAATATGAATTTATGAAGTCTCACATATGATCTACAGATCAAATTTACGAAAATGCTATTTATTAAGAGATTTTTGATCAGATATTATTGATGTACATGGATAAAATACATTGAAACTGGTACCTGATATAGGGGAGTTGAACCTTAGCTATCACCTGAGGTAATTTATTTACCTTTAACTAGAAACTTAAAAAAAATGTCAACAGTCATCTTGTCAAAAGGCAGTCACCAGGAAAGGACAGATATATCTATAGATAGATGAATATATATCTATGTATATGAATGAAATAAATTATTTTTTCAACAAATGCTTATAAAATAGCTACTACATGCTAAGTTAAAATTTTTGCAAAATCTATTTGAACCGTTTTCTGAGCCAAATTAAAAAGTTTATTTTGAAAGTAAGTTTTATAGAAAAATTATGATACTACTAGTAATAACAACATACTGAATTCATAATTTCTTTCTCCCAGGCAATTCAGAGTACAACCCCAATGCAAACTGTTACACATGTACACAGCATTTTGCTAAACAACAAGGCTTTGAGCATACAGCTGAATAAAATGGAAAGGCAGTCAAGAAAAGTAGGATAAGATAACCATCTCTCTTAAAAAGTTAAAAAGGGTTGGGGCGCCTGGGTGGCACAGTCGGTTAAGCGTCCGACTTCAGCCAGGTCACGATCTCGCGGTCCGTGAGTTCGAGCCCCGCGTCAGGCTCTGGGCTGATGGCTCAGAGCCTGGAGCCTGTTTCCGATTCTGTGTCTCCCTCTCTCTCTGCCCCTCCCCCGTTCATGCTCTGTCTCTCTCTGTCCCAAAAATAAATAAAAACGTTGAAAAAAAAATTTAAAAAAAAAGTTAAAAAGGGTAACCTGACAGATGGAAGGGAGGTAAACCAGTTGCTTCTATAAGGAATTTAAGCTCTGATATCTGAGAAATCTGTTTCTAAGGCTTGAACACTTACCAGAACTAACTTCCTAAGAAGTCAGTCATTCTGCATTTAATACATGCATTCACATCCATGATATAGATTATTAACAGATTAAATAGGTACAACTAAGTTATAAAACCATCAGACCACTAGCTCATCTTACTTTTTTACTAGTTGAAGAAATCTACTCAACATCAGAAAGTTATACACACATACTCACATTAACATACCTCCAGTGACACTTTAGACTGAATAAAATCAATCTTAATTTCCTTTGCAAAACAGCTTATAATGTATAAACATTCTACCAAAGAGATAATTTTCAATGAAAGCATCACCAAAAGCAAAGCTATTACCAATAAAATAGAAGAGTTCCCATGTTAAATGAATCTTTCACTAAATTATCTCACTTTGTCTCTTTCACCAAATTCAGTGGAACATCACTTTAAAACAAATGCAATGAATGCAACTCTTTCTGTGAAATACATAATAGTGGCATATAAAAACATTTTTTAATTTTTTTTTTTTACATTTTTTAAAATTTATTTTTGAGAGACAAGAGCGAGACAGAGCACAAGTGGGGAAGAGGCAGAGAGAGAAGGAGACAGAGAATCTGCAGCGAGCTCCAGGCTCTGAGCTGTCAGCACAGAGCCTGACGTGGGGCTTGAGCTCACAAACTGCGAGATCATGACCTGAGCCAAAGTCGGACGCTTAACTGACTGAGCCACCCAGGCGCCCCTAAAAACATTTTTAATAGCAACAGTCAACAGTTAGTATTCTCTGCACTGATTTCTACTGGTCTCTCTCCAAAATAACAATATCAACAAAATATGTTTTAAGAAATTTAAAATCTATTTGAAAATTTAAATTTAAGTGCACTAAAGCTAAATTTCAAATTTGGAATAGTATCAATACTTATGACAAAAAATAACTTGTACTACATTACCACCACTAAATTGGTACTTCTAAAATCAATTTTTATATGAATTTTCCATTTCCTAGGAAATACTAGTCATAAAAAATTCTGAGAAGTGTAGTTTTTATAGCTTTCTTGAATTTATAGAAAAATGAATATCAAATATATCTCCAAAATATATGTCAAATCAGTCTATTTCTCTGTATTTCCACTATTAGCATGTAGACAAAGACACCATTATCTCTCACCTAACAGCTGTCAGTCTACTCCCCGTTTGCACTCTTAGCTCAGTAATGGCTTTTCATCACTCTGAATAAAGCCCAAATACCTGATCACAGTCGACAGAGTCCTATAGGGTAGGACTCTTTTTTCTACTTGACAGCATCTCTTACCCTTATTTATCCTTGTTGGTCACTACATGCTCCAGCCACAATAGTCATCTTTCTGTTTTTAAACACACCCAAACCCTTTCCCTCCTTAGGACCTTTATATTTGCTGTTCCTTCAGTTTAAAAACTCTTCCTCCAGGGTCTGCTCCCACATTTTCACGTTTTAATTAAAATGTCACCTTATCAGAGAGGCACAACCTGTCTAAATAGCACCAACCCTGGCTCAGCATCATCAGATATCAGGCAAATTAAGATCATAATGAGATACAACTACATCCTCACCAGAGTGACTAAAATTAAAAGACTATCCAAAGCAATCTTCAAAAGGAGAAAGAACTAAATTGGTGAACTTCCCTTTCCTGACTGGAAGCATTATTATAAAGCTAGAGTAATTAAGATATTGTGTATACTATAAAGTTGACAAACTGATGAAAGGAACAGAGTAGACTGCTCAGAAACAGACCTACAGTTACACAGTGATTTGATTTTCAACGAAGGAGTTGAAGCAAATTAATAGAGAAAGAAAAACCTTTTCAACAAATGATGCTGAAAAATCACATGGAAAAAAGTGAGCTTGAATTCCTACCTCACACCAGTATATACATATACAAAAACGAGTTCAAGATGAAACAGAGACCTGAATGAAAAAACAAGCTTTCAGAAAAATAAAGAATACCTTTGTGACCTAAAGGTAGGCAAAGATTTCTTAGACAAGATTTCTTAGAAAGCAACAACCATAGAAGAGAAAAAGTTAACACATTAGACTTCACTAAAATTAGAAAGACTTGTTCAAAAGCTTTTATCATGAAAATTAAGATGCCAACCAGACTTAGTAGAGAAACTATTTGACAATGGACTGGTATCCAGGATGGCAACCGTCCAACAAGCACACGAATAAGTGCTCATCTTTTCATCAAAGAAATGCAAATTAAAACTACAGGATATACAATAAAAATGGCTAAAATGAGAAGACCAACACAACACCAAATGTTGGCAAAGATATGGCACAACCAGACCTCTTATACACTCTTGGTAAGAATGTAAAGTGGTGCATCCATTTTTGGAAGACAGTTTGGCAATTTCTTAAAAAAGTAAATACATATCTATCATATGATCCCACCACTACATTCCTATGCATTTACCCAAGAGAAAAGAAAGCATTCATCCATACAAAAGACTTGTACACAAATATTTACACCAGTTTTATTTGTAATAACTGAAAACTGGAAATAAGCCAAATGTCCACATTTAATAATGAAATATTACTCATCAACGAAAAAGAACTTATTGGTTACATAACATGGGAAATCACAAATTAATTATATGGAACAAAAGATGCCAGATAAAAGTACAGACTGTATGACTCTATATAAAATTCTAGAAAATGTGAACTAATCTATAGGGATATAAGGCAGAATAGTGGTTTACAATGGTAGGAGGGATAACAAACGGAGGGATCACAAATGGGCATGAAGAAACTTTTGGTGTGATGAGTATGTTCACTATCTTAATTATGGTGATGGTCTTATGAGCATATACATGTTAAAACATGAAATTGTACATTATAAGTATGTGCAGTTTATTGTATGTCAAATTATGCAATTTAAAATGTCAACTAAAGAAAACAAATAACAACCAATGAAACACAAATGCTTATTTATGATCTACAGTTTGTATCGTTAAGTACTCTGTAATTTGACTACACATTAAATTTATCCTTTTACTGGTGTCTATAAAGTTAGAATTATCATAATAGCAATAGATTAATAATGTAATAGCCTGTTAAAAACACCGAAATATTATTTTTTGAAACAATGCTGATTTTTCTGAAAATACTTTCACACATGCTCTGTAGTGAAAATGTTAGACTTAAGTACATTAAGAACATTAATGCATTAGTGATATTGTCAGAGGTAAGTATTAATTTTATGAGTTCAGCAAGTAAAATAATCTTCAAGCAAGATAATGTATATTTCATTTCCAATTAAGCAAATTACAATGATTTTTAGCCAATAATGGTCAAATGAAAATACTTTTAAGCCCTGGATTTCATCTAGGTATCCACCTTTCCATTACAGGAATTTTAACTTTTTTTCCCCATATTAGATTGTGTATTTTAAAATTCAAATATTCTATTCAGAAAAATGAAGAATTTCTTCTCAAAAATTTTCTAGGTTATTTTTATTCGAACTCCAAAATTTTACAAAAAATTGCAGGAAAATCCTTTTCATGACAACAAAAACTGTCATCAGTGTTTTAATAAATGTGACTATACAAAATGATTTAAAGTAATTTATATATTACCTGGCCACATCCAGGGGCAGTGCATAGAAAGGGTTTGTCATCACTCATATTCCACAGGTCCTTGTATTGCCTATAATAAAACATTAAGAGATGACTTAACATTTTACAGTACAGATTTTTAAAGAATAATTTAAAATGTAGTATTATATGATTTTCACTAAGCTTATTACCTTTTCTACTTCAATGTGAACTAAACATTTTTACTGATATTTTAGCCCTATTTCCCTTTCATCTTCAATTTTTTTTTTTAAAGTTTCTTTATTTTTGAGAGACAGAAAGAGCAGCAAGGCAGCTGCAGAGGAGAGAGGGAATCCCAAGTAGTCTCTGCTGTCATCATGACATGAGCCAAAATCAAGGGTCGGGGACACTTAATCGACTGAGCCACCCAGGTGCCCCCCCTTCCATTTTCTTATAATGAGTAGACAAATACATGCAGCATGCAGATTTTACACTACAAAAGGAAAAGGTCAGGAACCTGGGTCTGTCAGGCTAAATTTTTCCTGTTCAACAGTTTAAGTGAAGAATTAATGAAACAATTAGAAAATCATCACTTTAATCCCCAATGAAATAATGGATCTAGACCAGGTCACCAATGTCTGATGAAACCATCAGCAAAAAAGGTGATGGGAAACAGGCCAACCTTAACATCACTAAGAATGGGACAATCAGACATTATGCACAAGAAACTAGTCCAGGGAGGCAGGGTGTGTGTGTGTTGGTGGTGGGGGGGG